AAATCTATGTAGAATAAGGTAATTGACTTTACAGCCAGTCACAAAGAGTACTCACACATGTAGGCACTGATAGCTTCATACATTAACCCCTTAGCGGTCAATAAATAGCACCTTGCCAGGGGAATTGGTTCTGAAACTCAGTGTACAAACAGATATTCATGTCCTTGTTGACCAATGTTACCCTCATATTTCATACAGACCTGCCTTGTTTCAGGGTTTTATTTAAGAACTCGTTTGTAGGAAATTGCATATCAGGAAAGTTAAATGGTCTCTAAGGTACCAAACAAAATTACTTTCTAAAATTAGAGTAGGCTTTCACAATCTGTAATTTGTTTGTCTTTCAGAAATACTAAGTATCAAACTTTTCAATTTGTGTCATGTGAAAAGTGACCCAATCTCTCTATTTTTAATAATAGACAAATGCAAACAAACCTATAAGTGTAATGTGCAATCACAATAATATATGGTTTTAAAATAATAAAAAAATAAGAATGAAATGCATGTAAATTCAGTCACCTTATTTATCTATAAAATATACTGTAATGATTTTCTTAATTTATTCCAGCAGTCCATGATAGCTTTAGAAACCTCAGCATGAAGAAGTTGTCAGCAGTTTTAGTTCCCAAATTTTCCCTCTATTTAACAGGAATGTAAAACATAAACTAGAGGAAAGCTGGTGAAGTTTTACACAGACCGTGTACATAGCATCTCCTGTCAGACGAGAGTAAAAGAATTTTTAGATTACATGCCAAACCATAGCTGTGGTGCTGGAATTACACCAGGCATCAACTTTGACATTTCTCTCCTACTGTGGAGGATGTTTGCGCTAACAAGTTGCCCCTGGGATTCTTTTCTTCAGCAAGGAAAAAAAAATGGTTAAAGTTAATTTAAAATACTTTAATATAAATTTGAAAAGCTGGTGGAAAAATGCATTGAAATTGCAGTAAAAGGGGGTTCTAAAAAGTATTGGCTGTACACCAAACCCTACTGATCACGTAGAATTTCATCATAATATGAAAAATAAATTGATAAATAGCTAAATGAGTCCATTGTGTTTTTCTTTAAAAAGTGGCAGAGTGGGTTAGATAAAGTAAGTCCACATTATCCAAATCTACGCATAAAAAAATTAGAAATTAACAAAACAGAAAAACAATGCTTGAGAAAACAGAATCGAACTTAATAGGCCTCTCGATTCAAGAGGTTTTCTAATAGGAAAAAATGTCTGTAATCAAAGCCTATTACTAGTGAAGCAACTGCAGCTTTCATGAGCCTTTTTTAAACAATGGATTATTAAAGAAAGGATATTGGAAATGGCCTTCTTTTGAAAGGATAAAAATGTGAGTGTTGTAAGGGGTCGTTCTTGAGCTATACTAAGAAATGCGCATAAAAGCTGCAGTTGCAGTTCATTAAATTCGTAATGTTTTAGATTTATGCCTAGATTATTTGATCTTTCAAAATGTGATGAAAAGCTTAACTTGTTCATTCTAAATTTATATATATGATCTATTAAAAGTCATAATGACTCCAACAGGAAAAAAAGAAATTAACACATAAGCTGTCTAAATCAGTACCATGGACAGCGCCAGAGTTTTATCAATGAGAGCAACTTAACAGAGTTGCCGGATATCACAGTAGAGATTTCCATTGTGAGATTCACTGAATCTCTACAAAAGCTTCTGTTAGAAAAAAATATGCTAAAGGGTTAAAAGCTAAAATTAATGCATAGATAACTGATTAAACCCTTCTGCTTACCAAAGTAATAATAATTTTCATTTCTCTTCCACAAAAAAGAAAGTCCTTTGATTTTGGGGTTAAAGATCTAACCTAAGCCATTTTAAACAAAAGTATATGTAAAATTGTTTATTGTATTATTGTATATGAGAGGCTATAGTTTTTATAGTGTCAGTAGTCAATATAGACCCAAAGCTTAAATCTAATTTTTTTTTCCATGAGAAATTTCATAGTGAGGAGCAAAAGCAGGATAAAGTAAACAGTAATTATAGCCACCTCAGTATAAACCCAGATTATTAAAGATTTTATCCTGTACGGACAGATACTTGGGCCTGATTCACACAAAAACACAAAAAAAGCAGTGGTCTTGAGTTCAAGAGGTGGAAAAACTCAAGTTCACCACTACCCTGCAAACCAAGATTGTAAACAATTTAAAGATTCGTCTGTGAAACAGGAGAGTGGAAAGCTTGATAAATAGTGTATAAGGTCTTCTGTGACCTGTTTCTGGATTTGGCTGCTGCTGTTTAGAATCACACATGACACATTACTAGAGGAAAGGTTTCTGACCTTGTTTGGGCAGACCCCTCCCAAAAAAACAAAAACAAACAAAAAAAACAACAACAAAAAACAAGCAAGCAGCAACTGTGCAGATGATGACTATGTCATGCTTATAGTAAGAAGCATTTGCACATCTTAGACTAAATTAATTCAAATGTATTCCACACATAAAATACATTGTTTTGAATGTGTTTGTATAATGATACAAGAAAATGTCATTGCCACAGCCAAGAAATATGAGTCTTCCTTTTACATCCTAAGAGTATCAGATGTCCTGAAAAACTGTGCTGGCTCTCTATGCATAAGTAATGGTCATTGATCCATTAGTTAACAGTGCCCTGCTTATAGGTTGTGAAGCACAAATCCACGCTGAGCCTTCATGTAAGGGCGCTGAAGGCTGGCTTGAGGCCCTTTGGCACTTGGCCATTCCCTGCTTCTGCCCTGCAGCTCTGCATGATGGTGCTCACCATGCACTGCTCCTAGTCATCAGTAACCTTTCTTTACAGTCCTGCCTTGGTCACCAAGCTGCAACTAAGCTGGTAGCCGAAAACATAGTCAGCAACAAGGAAAAGAGTTTAAGCAGAGGAGCCAAGGGATCTGCAAGGTGGTCATGGATGATTTTCAAGCTCCTTGGCAAAATGGTTGTTGTGTTCTGCAGCGAGCACATTGATCCGTGATTTACATCCCTGTATATGTGGCATTCTTGAAAAATGTTGCCCTTAATTAGTTTGAGATAGCATTTAGCCTTCCACTAAAATAGAAGTGAAAGAGGATTAGGGGCATCAACATCTTCAAGATTTCAATAGCTGATAGCCAAGAAGTAAATTATTGTTCCTGCACTGTCCTAAACTTTATATATATATTTTTTTTTTCTTCTGCATGTACAAAAGGATATATCTATTAGTGGCCTCATTTAAGTTTTAACAATTGTTTATACATGAACTGTAATAAAAGTCTTAACTTATCAGGATAAACTTAAAGGTATAGTGGAGGATTTTTGAAAAGAACCGCCCACTCCACTTAAAAAAAAATACCCTATACACAGTCCCGCGAGGGACCACCTATTAAACGCGAGCCAGACTGTGCAAAAGCCTATTTCTCTTCGTGCATGCTCTGTTTAAAAGTTGCTGTTTGCATCGCTCATACAAGCTTATACAAAGAAGATTTGCAATTTTTCCACTATGTCAGACTCACCATCAGTAAGTGAAAATGGGTAAGAGCATGTAGGATGGCCTTAAATAAATATATCACCAGAGTGATTGACAATTAGGAGGACCACTTATTTTGATGATCCTCTGGGAAAAAGAAAATCCTCCACCATACCTTTAAGAGTAGGACCAGAAGCAGACTGAACTATGGTTAGTAATTAACACACAGACATCTAAACAAGCACAAAGAAATTACAAACTAAGCTATAAAATATTTAAAACTTTCAGGCATCTAGGAGACAGTTAAATATGAACAATATGCCAGAATAAACAAGATGTCCCACCTGAAAATTAAGGGATGGACGTATATGACAACGCCTATTTATAAAAACAAAGATCATGAAAGCCCAAATAAACTTTTTGAACAAATTGATGACCAAAAGTAAATACCCTAAGCTTATAATAATACAAAAATTTGTCTTTTTGATTACCAACTTTACAGGTCCTTTTTAGATGTACTTTTTGCACATTTATGTGGTTTTTGTCTTCTTATTTGTCAAGTTTTGTTATCTTCTCTGGGATACAAACTTAATTCTAGACTGTGCAGGTTCATTTATATTAATTGCTCTGAAAGCTTCCAGTGTCATATTAGCCTAATATATACAGAGAAAACATAAATGAAAGCAAGTAGTTGTATTTCATTCAAAAACCAGAAGTTTTCAAATTTTTCATCTTATTTAGATTTTAAGACACAACTAAGCTTGAATTAGATTTGACCCATGATGAGAAACAATGAATAGGATCATTATATGAATATTATGATCCGCTTATATATTCCACATCGGATTTAGCAGCTACTGGAGGAAACAAAACGATAACACTGAAAGCCTCTAGGAGATTTTTTCTTCTTTTTCAAAGCATCCGCAATATCTTATAAGTATCAGTGCATTTCAGTAATGATCTCATTATCAAATGATTTGTGTTTAAACTATGAGCCGTTTTTTTTTTTTTATTACATGTGCATGTTTTGATTTTGTTGCCAACTTGCTTTAAACCAAACCAACTCACAATAAGAAACTCTTAGTTTAAAGAATTTCTTTTTCTTTAAACCAACCAAACCATTACTATTTCCTCACCAGGTTTTCTCAAAAGAGACCCAGAACCATTTCCACATTAGCTGTAACACCTCAAAGGATCCATGGGGACTAGAAGAACTCGTTAAAATCACGCTTCACTGCATAATCCCCCTTTGTATTGTCATTTCAAGTTAATCTAAAAGCAGGAAAGGAAGGGTTAAGAGACTTGGCTGCTCTTAAAAAAAAAATCATTGTTTACTATTTTGGGTAAAAACATTGCTTTTGAAATGTAAAACTTAGAAAAAACTGATAAAAGAATATATTTGGTATTTTACACAGAAAATCAAGAGGAAACAGGAGGAGGAATTTAAAAGAGATTTAAAACCGGGTGTGCCAGTTCCAGATTAATATTGTTCATAGAAATATGTGACAGTTGGATGAAGGTTAAAGATGAGAAGATTAGAGATGAAAAAAAAATACTGAATGATATTTGAGATAAATTAAAATTTTTTATTGTATTTGCAGTTTACCAACCTATACAATAACACATTTTTCCCTAGTAATTTAATAGTAACACGATAATTGAAGCTATGTGGTGTCTAAACATTCATGTGCAGTTTGGTGTACGATATGTATCTGAGAAGAACCAAAGCACAAATCTTTCAAGAGCACATCTTCTGTTTTGTTCATTAGGGTAAAAAGGCTTCATTAAAAATACATTTCCTCTCAGATATGCCCTGGTGCACACATGACGTCTTTTCCCCTCTAATTCAGGTCATGCCTTTGTGCATTAATAAAAAAATCATTCAATCAGTCATGATTCCTCTGAGACGGGGCAAGTAGCTGGTTTAAAATAAGAAAAGAAAGACACAAAAGGATGAATATACTCACAATTGACTTTGAACAGATCACTTAGTCCACTATTTAGCCGTGTCTCTCCAAGGGAGAAAAGTTCATAGTTAATCCCTTTGTTTTGCCTGGGAAGCCTTTGGGTCAATTGTGGCACAGACGAAGGGGATCATAACACAGCAGAAAAGAACTGATTGAAGAGAAATCCTGCTGACTTGACCTTTGCATGCCAAAGGGATCCGGAGGGCTAAGTCTAAATAGAGAAGGATAGAAGAAACAGGCTAAAGGATAGGGTGGACACCCAGAGGGTTTAGGCATCCCTGCACAAGAAAATCACTCTTCCGTTTGCTTCAAAAAGTCTTCTTTTACAGCAAAGCTACATTGTCTTCTCAGTCCAAAACTGGAGATTCATCTGCTCTTAAGCCAAAGAAATGGCAAAGCTGAACTTTTTCTTGACGACCAGGCAGAGCGAGATGCACTGTGCTCACTCTCAGGCAAGTTGAGGCAGAATAGCAGAGAGAGGCAGCCTGATGTCTGAGCCAAGTCACAGCTGCTGCCACTATGCTGCTGGAACTACTCAGGCTGACGGACACAGATGTAGCTGACGCTAGCAAGCTGGGAGGAGAAATTCCCATAGGGGTGAACGGTTCATCATGTTTCGCCACAGTGAGCAGGCAGTGCGGACTCTGGAGGGTAAATGGGACGATTTGGATAAGGGGGTTGGCTCCAAGGAGTCTATTTTGAAAGGTTTGGGCTAAAAGACAAAGGAGGAGCATGGTGGAATACCAGCTGAGCTGTATGTTGGAATTCATTTTTTACTTAGAAAATTATGCAAAATGTTACTTGATTAAGGCTTCTCATAGTCCCTGAGTAAGGTATAAGCTCTGATGTCGAACGTAAAATCAAGTGGTCAAGTGGTCTATAAGGATGATGTCTTTAACACACATGGGAGAGGGCTGACATGACTGGGACAGATAATGAAAGCAGTGAAGTGACAGATGTTTTTTTTTTTTTTTCCCTTAGGACTGATTATTTGTGTGTGTACTTGTGTGTGTGGGTGTTCTTGTATTGGATACATTGTGATACATTTGCTGGAAAACAGCATGTTGTGAGGCCCGATGTCTGGACTCTATCAGGGAATTAGTGTTTTCCAGTAAAGGACGTCTAGGACTAAGGTATGAATGGACTTCAGGTTGGGGTTAGGGATTAGGTATGAAATCATAATGGATAGGTTTAGGGTAGGGTCATGGTTAGGTTGTGTAATGGATTAGAAATGAATGGAAGAAATAACCCACAAAGAGATAAACTTATAATCTGTGAGTGTGTGTGTGTGAATCTGCTTGGGTGTAAAGTCTTTTTTAAATCCGGATGATGGACGCTGATCTGTGCCAGGAGTTCCCATTTAAGGGACAAGAGATAAACACTTGTGCAGCCAAGCTGTTGTGGACTGTAGAATAATCTAGAATAACCTCATATATTCCCTTTAATTTATGGAGCTCATATTTATACTTTTTATATATGGTTGTGATAAATGTAGTCCATCACAGGGAAACTCAGAGACAGACAGGAGAGATACATTAACATCCAGAGGTTTCAAAAGTATTACTTACCTATACTTCTACTTGAGTTTATTACTCAAGTAGAAGTATAGGTCCTACTGTTTAAAAACACCTTTGTAGAAGTTAAGATTAAATAAATAAATGCACCATTTTTAAAACTACTTAAAGTATAAAAGTAAAATTAATACAGTAAAAATATTAAGGACATTTGCTTTAATGCATTACCTTGTTAAAGAAACATTTTTCTACAATTCTGGACAATAACAGCCTTAAATAATGGAATTGTTTTTTAACTAATGGAAACAGTGTCAAATTTAACTTTGCATCACCTTGAAAAACAATTTGATTTGTTATGTGGCGAACCATAAGTGGACTACAGAGTCCAAACAAAGAAATTAATCGTCTGGATGAATCAAATTGTTTTGATTGCTTTTACAAGCCAGTTAACAAAAATGAGCTTAAATGAAACAAAACTAACAAGTCTATATTTAAAATGTAAGGAGTAGAAAGTAGAGATAATTGCAAGAAAAAAAATGTAAAGGGTAGAAGTGAAAAGTTGTCTAAAACCTGATTCCTTAAGCAAAGTTTTGATAGCCATAATTTCTAGTTAAGTAAGGTAACAAAGTATTTGTACTTTGTTACTTGACATCTCTGTTAACTTAATAGTGCATTTTAAAAGTACCCAATCAATGCTGTCTTCATGTAGTATCCTAATTATGGTTAATAAGCCGAAATCCGTTATTAAATTGCACATGAACACCCACGCATGTTGTAATTTCCACTGGAAAAATGGGAAAATTCTGATACCCTAGTTGTCGAGATGAGGTAAACTTTGACCTTTCAACATGGCAGAATGCAGTGAAATGATTCTGTACGGTGAATATTGTATCATTAACTGTTCTCTCTTGTTGTGTTTGTACTGTAGCCTACACCAGTGTTTTTCAATCCTGGTCCTCAAGGCACCCTGCTCTGCATGTTTTGGATGTTTCTGAGGATCAGCAAACCTGATTCAGATGCCACAACGCCACCAATCCCACACAATCTATCTATCTATCTATCTATCTATCTATCTATCTATCTATCTATCTATCTATCTATCTATCTATCTATCTATCTATCTATCTAT